CTAATTTTCAGTTATGTGGAGAATTTCTAAAGAAAAATCTCTTTCAACTGATTTACCATATCTTCAATCAGTGTAACTATATTGATAATTCTTACATATTGGTTATTAATGTCTAAGATAGCAAGTGATCTGTTTATCTCTTAAAATATGTGCGTCCTGCGCTGATTGCCTCGGTATCGCTATTTCAATTAGATAAATGGTTAACCCGATATCGCTTGCAGTGAACGGTACAGGTTTGAAGTCCTGAAGTGTACATCAACTAAGGAATACAGGCACATTCAGATGACAATTCCCAAATAGGACGAAACGTAAGTCTTGGATTCTATTACCAGCCACAATCCGTCTCTGATTAAATACTCTAATAATTGATATAAATATTGATATAAAATAGGACTATTTAATAAATAGTTCTAGAGTCATTTTATTGTTAACTAACTCATCAACACTTGATAAGTATTGAACTTAATATTGATTAAATAAAATTAAATATTTCAATAAGCTCCATATTTATTGGTGCTTAAAGTTATGTCAAAAGTGAATCAATAATGAGACATAACGGTCAACTTGGTATACTTAATTATTTTGGCACTGATAATTAATTTTTTTTTATCTTATGTCTAAGTTACAAAATTCAAGTAGATTATGATAAAACTAAACCAATTAATTATATCATTAAAAATATTCATTTTCATAACCTTTTTAAGAATTCTCACAACCTTCTTATGATATACTTAAAGTATTTAAAAATAATAGAAATTTTTTCGAACATTGTTCCTAATCTAAAATTTGATTCTTTCAAGAAAAGGAGATTGGTAATGTAATGAACAAGAACACCAGTGGGGACAATCGAATGTAACCAACACAAAAATTACAAGACTTGTTAATAAAATCTAACAATCATAAAGTAAATACGTAATTTGCAAAATGTCTCAGAATGACTAAGACTTCATTGTTCTTGCATTTTCGTACAAACTGTATTCTGTTTCCTTTCTTTACTGTTCGATCCTCTTGTCTCTCTGCTGCCAGACTTTCTGTTCACAACTAACATCATATACTGCTTATGTCAATATAAGTAGCACACACCAAAATTATACTGAATTGGTTTTTGGATTCTTAAAGATAGTTTAGTGTAGCTCAACTTCGATTGAATGCGTGATAAATAGATATCAAAAATATGGTGAGTTTACTAATCAGAGATGATTTCCAGATTTTTAGTGTGAAGTCACGATTGTTGAAGTTCAACCGTATCTATTGGGAATCATTTATTTATTGGCCAACGACACTCGAGGATGATTGCTCAATACCGCGAAATGATTGGTGTTAAACATGTAAATCAATAGGTGCTGAGCCAGTAATAAAGAATCTAAATGGTTACTATGAGACTTGAAGTTCTTATGCTTTGCTTATCGGCTTATAAATACTTTGATCTCAAAGTTTTCTTATTAATGATTAGTGGGACTGTTAAAAAGTCAACCAAATGATATAGTGAGACAAAGATTTTTGAACTATTTGAATGCAGGTTTTGAAATATTTGATCAGTCTGTTTGATATAGACGCCGTCATTATTGATTGACTTAAGAATGATATAATTTTAATAATGGAATAAAAAAGAATTTTTTTTCGGATAGACATTTTATTTAAATTTAGCTTTCATACCAGGCCACTTTCATTCGATAATGTCACAATAAAAGCTCACTGAATAATCCTTTTATTTTTATTCAAAAATGTTGTTAACAAGTATATATGTGATCAGATTGTTCGAAATATATTGCGCTAATATATCACATTGTTCTGATAATATTCGTCTCGTTATTACACTATCAAATTCCTCACTGATTTAAACACTAATTAAAGATACCTTCCACAAAACCATACATATAATGAATGATATTTAAAGTTACTTTTTCAAGTTTTATGCAGAAATCTAAAAGTCATTCACATGAATACGATTGAGTTTTGATAGTCGAATATTATTTCATTATTTTACATTTCTCATACATAAATATACTACTTATTTTTTGTAAGTAGACTAACTGTTTTAGGTATTTATACTTATCTCAGATCCATGCATCTAAAGAATAAAAAAAATTCCTCAATAAACAAATTTCTTAGTGATTCAATGAAACTCAGTGTCTAATTGAAAAATTTTCTAAATGAATGTTTACAACATAAAGTTAATTTTTTTTTTATTGAATGACTTATATGAAAAATGTTATAAATTGAATTATGAATGAAATAACACTTTGTATAGTTAAATAAATAATCACTAAGGTAAGATAAATATAAAATAGAATTCATTAAACATGTGACAAAAAGAACTTATATTCACATGAAAAATCAATTTTTTTAGTTCTCTTTGTTACTAAGTAATAATCAATGAATTAAAATTTTGATTTTATTCAATTATTGTTTTACACATAATAAATCAAATTTTAAATGAGATTTATCTTTTAAAGATATTGTAGTATTTGATTACTATATGAAAATCAATAACGTTTTCTATATTGTACTAATATAAAATTACGTCATTTTTAAGTTAAACAATGGTAAAATCGTTTGTATCAGATGGATTGATACGAAACTATATCAAATGGTTAAGATCATGAGTCAGCTGAAGCTAGACCACCATGGAAAACCTGGAAGCATTGGACGGCGCATCCACGACCTCGTCCGCTACGATTCCCGAACCTAGGACCTATCAGTTTTGCGCTAGGCGCTTAACCAACGAGACCACTGAGCCGGCATCCAATGATGTTAATGTCTAACTTTAACTAATCCACAAAATTGAGCGACACATTCACCATTGTCTTCAGTGAGTTACTATCTCACAACAGACCCGGCTGAAGTTTACTGGTCACTGCTTCTCACTAGAACTTCAGGATATACACCTTGAAGCCAGTCATTAGTGAGCATTAACACCGTTAGATTCCGGATCAGCGGTCTCGTTGATTAAGTGCTCGCGCGCGAAACCAGTAGGTCCTGGGTTCGGATCTCGCAGGGGGCGAGGTCATGAATGCGCACTGCTGAGGAGTCCCACAATGGGACGAAACGGCTGTTCAGTGCTTCCGGGTTTTCAATGGTGGTCTGGCTTCAACTGACTCATGATCTTAACCACTGAAATGACCATAATATCCACAAAACCCATCTGATATTAATCAAAACTATATTTCATATTAATTGTATAAAGTGAAAAGAGAGTTCCTAAATTTTATTTTTATAACTATAACAAATAAAAGTCATTTTACACACAATAAATGTGCACGGCTGAAAGGAAACAGTTTCTTCACAGTGTTATATAATTGTGTGGAATTCTAGGAGATTCATGAAACAATACTTCAAAATGGAATCCAGGACGCGCGTTTCGTCCTAAGCACTATCCATCTTTGATTCAAAAGCTTATGACTTTAAGCTATATCATGGCTATCCGGACAGTATATATACATAACATGAGACTGATCAGTCGCAGTCCTAAATAACAATGAGAAGATACAAGTAAAACAACACCAAGTGAATACTTTAAAATGTTATTAATTGTCTGTAAAATGTGGTTTTACCGTAGTTTGAGAAAGATTAGTCAGTGTTACCCTTTTTGTAACTACTTATTAGACTACAGTAATGAACTACAAATCTGGAATAACTTGATGTGCTTAATTTGACTTAACTGTAATAAATTATATGGTATAGAACTTGACACAAAAAGTGTAATACGAAATATATTGTGTGTGCCTATATTTCAGAGTTGTTTCATCCTCCTAAGATATTTTTCATGATCATTAAATCAAATATTGGTCTCGAAATACTCTTTTGAAATATCCTGCTTTATTAATGTACATTAATATATATATATATATAGTGAATACAGTCGATAATAAGGCTCTTGAATCTTACTTCTGATTAATTTCAGTATTACGTCACACATTTACCACTTCGTAACTTTTCAATTACCGATTAATGTTATTTTAATATATGGAATATGAAAACAGTAATTATTGTTTAAACTGTGTAACTTTGAAAATAACTATTTATCCACAACAGAATAAAGTGGCATAATGACATTGACTCGCGGAAACCAGATACTTACTGAACATAGAGTAAAGAATAAGTTAAATGGTTATCAAAAACAGAGTCATTTTTTCGTATTTATATGCAAAATATATCTTAAATATATATGAAACAAATTTGATGTTACCTTAAATTCAGTCATTTTAAGGTTATACTCTCACTGTGAATTCTTAAACTCTTGTGTTTGATTCCTGATGTGATTGTGAATACCCACCAACTTCTATCCAATACACTCTGATTTCTAATGATTGTTTAGATTAAATTAATTTATGATATGAAACTTTATATTAAACAATCCCCATAACACTTAATAAGGTGTCATCATCAATTATATTTATTCCACCATTCTATCATCATGATATGAAGTTAGTTTTTATTTCAGTAAATAAAGGCATATTTATAAATAAGAAACAATTTATAAAATAATGATGTACAAATTTGATTCATTAATTAAGGCATTTTCTTATAATAAACAATTTCTATAGTTACAATTAAGCAAATTATTAACATCATAAAAATAGTATCATCTCTAATTTTTTTTCTTTCTTTCTCTTTTTCTTTCTGTTTCTTTTATTCATATTTTAATTAAAGTGAGAGAATATATCAGTCACAAAAGGTAACAAATTAAAAATCACAACACTTTAATATTATATATGAGATCTTGACTACATAATCTGATCTAGAAAGGAAGAGGAAAGAAAGAAAGAGAGTGAGAGAGTGTGGGGGGGAGAAGACAGAAAGAAAACACAACTCGAATAGTTACATCGAAGGATAAATAAAATAGGTAGCACGTTTCATTTGGTGAAAATCAATTCTCATATGAAAAAAAAGAAAGAACGAAATTCCAAATATTGTTTTCTTTTTTTTTATTATTATTATTTTCAATATCATCAGTGTAATGTGTATTTTTAGAAGAAAAAACAAACAAACAAAAAAAAAAAAAGAAACAACAACTCACTGCAAAACAGTTTTGTTTTTTTTAAAATGTTAACGTTGAAATACATACCTATTATATCTGTATGTAAAATAATGATTAAAAAAATAAAATTATGGTTAGTGATTATATTGATTGTTTTTGAAGAAAGAAAGAAAGTAATATTTAATTAAAGAAATTATTTAGTTATTTTTATTGTAACTCTGTAATGATGTTGTAAATTAGACTTTAGTGGCACATTATCTCATATATAGTAACTTACGTGATATTGAGTTTGTTCACATTTAATTCGGTTAAATCATTTTGTTAACTTATTAACGAACTGAGTTATTCGTATAACAACAACAACTTATCTATATCATTTTATCTTTATTATTGTTGTCAATGTATGAACATGTATGCTTGAGCGTTGCTTACTGCCTACGCATTTATTCACGCTGCTAGCCTTACTACTAACCGCTCAATTGATTCGATGATTCGTTCATTTCACTATGAATACATATGTCCATGTTACTCATGTTCATTGCTTTCTGTCTCGCTTAAGTGTACTCGCTTACTCGTACTCATATTCGCTAACTCGCTGGCTAGCCCGATTGCCTTTTGGCACAACTCTTTCATGCTTGTTTACCGCACCTGTAATTTTGGATATCTGTGTGTGGTTCCATAATAAACGTAATCAACACTTCGTATTCGCCTTCTGATTAATATACCGTTGAGGCGTTATTTAGTGACGGTTATCAAGACGAACTGTATATGAAGTTTAAGGATTATATGGAATACCGACCACCACTTTAACTACAATTGTATTGTATGATTACCGTTATCGACTTAAATCGCGTTGGTGAATAACGGAATGAAATAAGTTAAATACGAGAATGGTTTTTTGAATACGTATATTTCGTACAATTGTTGATCGGGAAGTGGAACAAAACAAAATGACGCTCAATGGAGAAGGCGAGTGAACCAACACCAATTAACCAAGCGTGAATCGATAAGTTACATACACGTGATGGATAGGATAAGAAGTGTACACACATAGGCTTACATAAAAACAGTCAAGGTTGACAAGCGAATAATCAACAAACTCAAAATGTGACTCAAGAAGAATGAACAAACTAGTTTGTCCTGAAACTAGAATAATCTATGTGGGCTTAACAATAGCAACCGACACTACAATGCTAAACTCTGAGACAAAACCGTAAGACAAATGATGACTTTCATGTTTAACCAAAAACATTTAGTAAGTTCAGTTACCAACTAGTTATTAGATAAGGAATTACAAACAAGATATCAAAGATATAAACTAGTCTGGCCTTACTATCGTAGAGTAGTACAGCACATCGAATAAATTCAAAGACAACTGAGATGTGTCTTAGTTTCTAGTGCAAATTGTAGTATTAGTGTAAAGCATAAAATATAGGTTCTCTTCATTATTTTATTCTGTTACTTTTTATTGTGAAACTTTTGAAGACTTCATTTCAGTTGTTGATTTCAGTGACGTAATGAATATAAATCTTTACTTAAGAGGAGATGGATGGTAACTAGTGGTGAAATTCACTACCAGCATTTCGTTCTGTTTCTGAAATTTGAAACTACTGTTAGTAATGATCAGTGGTGATGCGATCTAAAATTTTATGTATAGTTGAAGCTACAACTGAAAAGAAGGGTAGGATCCAGAGTGAGTTGAATATTGATTAAATCTATCACTATGTTGAGGGACATAAGTATTATGTACCACCAACCAGAAGTGGAATGCCTGCCAACAGATGGTTGAGAAGATCAAATTGAAGAGAACAAGAATTTAGAGTGACAGTAGTTATAATAACAATAAGAATGAATGGACTATGAAATTTGTGAAAACCAATTGATGGAATGAAAGCAGACATAGCGGTAACTGCAAGGATACTCCACATTCTCTTCGATAAAATTTGGGATGAGAACAAGTACCAACAGACTGGGAAGAAGGACCTCTGGTCAAAATACTAAAGAAAGGTGATCTTAGCAACTGTGATAATTACAGGAGGATCACTCTTCTCTCAGTACCAGGAAAAGTCTCCAACAGGGTATTATTAAAAAGAATGAAGGACTGTGTAGACGCCAAACTTCGACACCAAAAGGCAGGGCAATCGGCCACTATTTTCTGTTTCATAAGTCATCACGATATCGTTTTGAACTCTATTAAGTTTATCTAATAATCGGGAATGGACATCTAGGATATAGCTGAACGATCTAGACTTCGCAGATGATCTGACCCTCCTATCGCACACTCAACAACAAATGTAGGAGAAAACGACCAGTGTATCAGTAGCCTCAGCGGCAGTAGGTCTCAACATACACAGTGGGAAAAGCAGGATTCTCCAATACAACACAACATGCAGCAATCATATCACAATTGATGGAGAAGATTTGGAAGATCTAAAATCCTTTACATATTTGGGCAGCATCATCGATAAACATGGTGGATCTGATGCAGATGTGAAAGCGCGGATCAGCAAAGCAAGAGAAGCATATCTACAATTGAGGAACATCTGCAACTCAAAGCAATTGTCAACCAACACCAAGGTCAGAATTTTCAATACAAATGTCAAGACAGTTCTACTGTATGGGGCGGAAACCTGGAGAACTACGAAAGCCATCATCCAGAAGATACAAGCGTTTATTAACAGTTATCTATGCAAAATACTTCAGATCCGTTAACCAGAAACTATCAGTAACAACCTACTATAGGAGAGAACAAACCAGATTCCAGTTGGAGGAAGAAATCAGGAAGATACACTAGAAGTGGATAGGACACACATTGAGGAAAGCATCGAATTACGTCTCAAAGCAAGCCCAAACATGGAATCCTCATGGCCAAAGGACGAGATGAATACCAAAGAACACATTACACCGAGAAATGAAGACAGACATGAGAAGAATGAACAAGAATTGGATGGAACTAGAAAAGAAGGCCCATGACAGAGTGGGTTGGAGAATGGTGGTCGGCGGCCTATGCTCCATTAGGAGTAACAGGCGTAAGTAAGTAAGTAAGTAATTGATAGAAGATGTGGAAATGAAGTATTTCATGTATGATTTTCATATTTTATATGTATGTTTTGTAATCTCTTCCACTTTAATTTTGTGTTTGTGTCTGGTTACACGGAAATCACTAACTTTGTGTTTCCGGTTTTGTTGACGCCTAATGTGTAATTGCCAATCATACCGTTTAAGGCATCAGATGAACTACAAAACTGGAGAGGTTTCCGGACTCCACCAGCTCAGTTAGTGTTTATGTATGTGTGAAAGACAGTTTAAGTTCTCTTTCTGCATTCTTTTGTCAATTATAACTAAATTTCACAATCTTGTTATATTTATGTTCACATAATTACTGAAGTGACCTTCAATAGAGCAATTTCAATGTGACCTATCTTCTTTATTCTATCCACAAGCATTAAATGGCACAAAACAATTTCCGTTTAATATTAATTACGTTACGTAAACTAATAACTTATTAGGTATTCATAGACGTTTAAAAAATGGATTGTTTTGAAAAAATTAACAAAACAATGTCTAAGTTGTTAGAGCACTAAGCATTCAGTCATTAAATAGAAGTTTTGAACATGGCTACTTCCGATTCCTCATAAATTGTTAAGAGAAAAAACAAGCCTTTAGATGTAAAGAGCAACTAAGAATCAAGTTCATGAAGAATATCTCCCATTTTGCTGTATTTTAGATTGTCTTCTCTAGAATTCATCCAGTTTGCTAATGTTTTGAAAACAATACATTACTCTAAGCCATCTTAATATTTGTCTATAAGTTTACATAATCTTTTGGAGTAGGTTAAAGTAGGCACGTAATTAGTTCTCATTCTGAGTATTGCGCCACTTGGTTATAGAAAATGATATGTTAATCAATAAATAGATTATGGAAACTGCTGATAACACAAAAATACCATGATTATCTATAAAGATTACCCATAAATCCAATCGACTCGGTTAATAAAGTGTTAGAATCGTAAGCTTGTATACAGTAGAAATTAAACACTGAAACATTCAAAAACAATTCGTTTTTTTGACCATGGTAAATATGCACCAAGACTACGCAACCCAATATAATCGGTGTGAACAACTATGAATGGAAACCTAACTGAAGTATTTTGATAAATCTCCTGAAACTTAATGTTCAGGGTATTTTGCATATGAAATATATTTGGCTACAGACTCAATCTATTATTAATGTTTAAAATATTACCGTTAGGCTACATAATCAGATATCTACTCAATAAACTTGAAATTCTTGACACAAGAATACAAGCGTTCAGCAGAACAAATCGGATTAGTAAGGTATAAATGAAATCACCTTAGAAGCATTATTTTTTATTGTACACATAAAAGTGTTAGGTATGCTGAGGAATATGCCAATAATTGTCGTGTCAAGTCGAATGGTGTCATTGGACGTTAAATATATATTTCCTATTGGTCGATATTTGCTTCACTTGTTTAATATTGCGTAAATGTTGTTTACTATTTTTATGGTACGATATGGTCTGCTTGGTTAGTATATAAACAGAGGCTGTTACTTGCGATCTGGACTCAACTGGCTGGGATAGACAGCGAAGCAGGGCCAATCAGGACTCTAGGTCGTTCGTACGTGTTACGTATCACTGTAACCGATCGATATAAACGCTGCACATCAAAACCTGCAGTCACCCGTTACAACAAAAAGCAGCTCAGTTCTTTTCAAAAGCCTTTGTTGATTATATCATCTAAAACATCAATGACCGCTTCAAAATCATCAGTTAAATTTAAATATATATATATATTCCGGTGATATAATTTATTAGCTGTGTAGTTTAAATCTGGTCACTAAGTTATTAAGGTTTTCAAAGACCGAAATATTAAAGAAGAGTAATTTATAATACGTATTTTTTCAATGAGTTTGTAATAACAAACAATGGTCTCTGTATTGTTTGATAATAAACATATATTTTTACTAAACTGAAAACTTTCATTAAGATTGTCTGCCTTCTTAAATTACAAAATGTATTCACAGTAATCAAAGTGGTTTAAGATAATCATTGAATTCTTATAGTATACATGATGAATTGATGTTCTAGTTAAACAATTGAATAACTATTTCGTTCTAGTATGAAATTTCTTAATAGTGAACAACCCCTATCCTACCGAGAATCAAAATTTAATCTATAAACAATTATAAGTTGAGTTAAAACAATTAACAAATAGATTTTCTTTTTCATATAGTATTCATATCTAATAGTGTTGAATAAACTTACTTCAACTAAAAAATAACCTGATATAGGTTTATGGTCACTGCATATATAATTTGGATGTGATCTGTAAACAATTGGTGTACAACCTCGACCAAACCAAATAATTCGATCACAATAGGCAGGAATACGATATTTTTCACTGAAGGAAATGCAAGATATTACTTGATATGAATAAGTTATTTAAATCAATCATTAAAAAGGAAGATTTTTCACGATTTAATATGATCGTATGTTGAAATATACAATATTTTTTTACATTTATATATTCTAGACGTATTTGAATGGTAGCTTGTAGTTGTTTAAAATTATATTCACGAGTAAATCCTCATATTGAAGTACTCGTTGATATTATAACATCAACTTGTATTTTGATAGAGTTTTGTTCTGTAAGCTGGATGTTTTAGTCGTGAAGCTTTCATCATTCTTCTGAACGACATCATCAGCACAAACTTCAAATAGAACACTTCACTACTATCTGAAGTTTGTGCGGATGATCTCGTTCAGAGGAACAGTGAAAGCTTCAGAATCAAACCATTCAGCTTAGAAAACCAAATTCCATCAAAATCATCCACCTGAGTTACAAATTTTCTCCATCAACTTGTATTCTCCATAAACGTTCATAATACACGCTACACCAACTAGGTATTTTTGTAATTTAGAAGGTAATCGAAATCTATGAAAGGACATTTGTTTGTAGACTTTTGAACTCTTGTTATAATTCATGTTGTAGAATGTTCTTTTACATAAGAAGGATTATATTTACAATATCTTATTCAGCTTATTAAATTTATTTACACCCTTGCTCATACTATACTAATGTATATTCAAAGTAACTTCCAACTAAACTCTTTCATGTAAGCAATTTCAGCCTATTTCATAATTATGATTTTAAATATCACAGGTTGTAAAGCATCTGACAAGAACCAAACGAAATAAAATGAATTCATATTATTCTGCTAGAATCTTTGCTCTTGCTCTCTTCAAAATGATAATACGGAACTATGCATATGAAATATTCTCAACAGATTTCTGCGACACTATACTTTATAGAAGAATCAATCAGAGAGCAGGTCTTGGATTTTGGCAAAAATCCCATTCATTAATTTCGCCTAATAACACTTTGACATTATAATTGATATCACTTCGTGATGAAAACATTAAATAGAATTCCTAGCCCAAACATCCAACTTTATATTGTAATCTCGATTCTTCACACTAATTTAAAACTCTGATTTAACCCTTGTAAGTAGATGACCATTCCCAAGGTGAAGTTAGTGTTTCTTAAATGTCATTCATAATATCTAGTCTCACTCGAATTTCAAAAAAAAAATTTCAAAGAAACATTTCTTTACTTTTTATTCATCTTTTGAATAATTAAGAGACAAGTTCACTCTTAAAACATTCATTTTATTAGTGACTTTCTGTTAGGATGTGCAGAAAAATATACCAATAGTTATCATGTTAAGTTTAATGTTGTCCTTGGACGCTAAATGTACATTCCCTATTGGTCGATATTTACTTCACTTGTTTAATATTGTGTAAATGTTGTTTTCTATTTTTATGGTACGATGTGGTATGTTTTTTTAGTATATAAATAGAGTATGTCTGAAATACAATGATTCATATCTCAGAGTCTGTGACTTTCGTTCTGGACTCAACTGGCTAGGATAGACAGGAAAGCAGGGCTAATCAGGACATTAGGTCATTCGTACATGTTTACGTGTCACTGCAGTCGATCGATATAAAACACTGCGTATCAAAACCTGCAGTCAGTCACCCGTTACAACACTTTCATAAGTAGAAGTTAATAAATAATTGAAGTTAAACTAATAAACACTGTTTTCATTCAAACATCATGAAATTGTACATTATCACTTTTCAACTGATTTACTTTGTAACAATTAAATTCATGACTTGGTCTAAACTAGATTACCACTGAAAACCTGTAAGTACTGGATGATTGTTTCGACTTAGCAGGGGACTCCACACCAATACTCATCCATGATCTCGCACTCGGGACTTTAGACAATATAATTACTTGAAATATCATAATTCATATATGAGGCCTATTTAAATATATGAATTATTTAAAAGTTTATTTACTGCTTTAAGAATATAAATACAAATTGATTCAATGAGTTTTACTGAGATTGTTCCAATGAGCTGATTCAAGGCTAAAAATAGTTATTTAACAAATATTAATGGAAAAAACCTTCTTATTCATGACTTTCTAAAATGGCTTTAAAACAAAGTTTTTCATTTGTGATTCTCAATCTTTCCGGGTTTTTTTTTAATTCGGTTACATTATTGTTTATTCATGCTAATTCATTAATGCTCTTACATAACCGAGATAATGAATAAAAATGGGAAAGAACTAAACTTAGGCTTTGTCCTCATCAGGAACTATTATTAGTGAGAACTTACAACTCAGGATCATTAAGTTTTTAACAAAAGGTTACTTTTAAACCAAAGTTTTATCAAATGACCTATATTTTTTAACATCAGTTGGTTTATCATACTATGTATTGTTTCATTCTTGAAATCAATAAAATTCACTGATTGTGGTTTCTCATGAGAATATCGAAGCCCGCATTGGAGTTTGTTAATTAGTGAATGAACAGTTATTTTTTTGAGATGATTCAATTTAAGAAGTGAAAGCCACGATTTCGTTTCTACGTGGAGTCACAGGTCTATACTGCGTACATTTCACAAACTAAGAAAAAATGTTTGTCCAGGAAAACAGTTTGTTTATCCAATATTCGTTTATGTTATACTTTGTTATAACTGAAAACAAAGTGATATCGGCATTTCAAGAGTTGCGTGGGTGATTGTCACTCCTTGTCTGCCTAAAAACGATGTAATGATACTTCTTGAGATATCTGAAAAGGATACTGGATTAATAATGGTCTTGGCGATCAAAACGTTTGACTATAAATACCAAAAGACAACTGCTGGAGGTCGGCCACACATAAACTCTTTGATAATAGTTCTTTAGCTATTAGCTCCATAATTAAATGTTCTTATCTCTAGTGACAGAAACCTATGTGTGAATTGAAGTATGGTATTTGCAAGATTAACCTTGCATACTCCATCCTAATTTGCTGGGATACGTTATCACTATAGATATTACCTGTCTAAGGAAAACACCTTACTTCCGTCACACCTCAATACGGGAGGTAGTGCAACTTCATCCTTGGATCATGAGTTTACGGCTTTTAGTCAATCTACTTGACATGTTAGAATCTAAAAATCAAGTGTTTCAAATAATATAGCTCCATTGGGTCATCATGATGAATAAGCTCAATCACTGAGTAAAGGTAGAAGCTCTGTTATGGATTATAATTAGACAACGTGTAACATTTCGAATTTCTTAACATGATATTATTTCAATTCATTGAAATAAATAACTAATCAAACAAGATTGACCTGGTTTTTTATCAACCTATCAACTTCCTCAGTTAAACAAAAATGAACATACCTTGAATCATATGTCTGATAATTAATATCGAATTTATATGTTGGCGGGAAAGTAATTTTATGTTCTCGAAAACCTTGAAATATCTTTCTACTGTTCATTTCATTTGATAACTTTGAAAAAAAAACAAAATAAAATCATTGGTTGAATGAATCAATAAATAAAAGGAACATAAAAATATGTTACATTGAATTAGCTTATAATTTTATTTCTAATAGTTGAGATTATGAGTCAATTGTAGCTAGACCACCATGGAAAACCTAAAAGCACTGGATAACCGTTTTGTTCTATTGTGAGACTCCTCAGCAGTGCACATCCACGACCCGGCCTCGTGTGGTTCAAATCCAAGGCATATCGGTCCTGCGTGCGAGCACTTAAACTCTAGACCAATGACTCGGCATCCAACAATAATAATGTGGATTAGTTAAAGACCGAGACGTTCTGGGTTCGAATCTCGCGAGGTGGGATCGTAGATACGCACTGCTGAAGAGTCTCACATATGGACGAAATGACCATCCAGTGCTTCCAGGTTTTCCATGGTGGTTTAACTTCAATTGACTCATAAATTCAACTAATAAAATTACTATAACATCCACAAAACCGCTTCTGATATTAGTTTTATATCTGTTTGTGATAAAATAATGTCAGTGATGAAAGAAAAATAAACTGATAATACGATTAGGTAAACTAGACCAAGTAAAAACTGTGTGAAAATTACAGGTAAATGAATACAATAGAATACGAATAAGCGAATTAAATTGAATGAATTAAAAAGAAGCATATATGTATGGAAAAGTGAATGTACCATTAAGCGATTTTATCTAGTTAGAGGTATATACTTGTAAACTGTAACATGTGATCAAGCATATATGATCATACAAATGCGATGATGATAATAATAGTAATAATACAAAGAGATAGATACATTGTTACTATTCGAATGACAATGTCTGCTGTTTAATAAGTTAATTTAAGGGTTTAATAAAATTAGAAGTAGACAAACTTAAGTGTAATGCAGGTATTATATAATAATGATTTAATCATTATGTAAATTATTTATTGCTTGTCAATATAAATTTATCATTACTGACCAATAATTGTATAATAATGCCAGAATATAAAGAATTAATTTACTGTATAAATTAATCAATATAATAACACATCATGTGGTAGAACATGTTAATCCTAAAGATTTCCGAAGACACTACGATGAAGAAAACTTACTCTGACTTAATACAAATCAATCAAAATATCTTGAACTAAGCTCTTGAATGTAATTAATTGGTACAGTAAAACAATCATTTAAGATGAATATTTAACATGAATTTGCAACATGATCGATAGCATTCGATCTGCATTAATAAGAACTAGACAAGCATGACATTGATCACCACCCAGTGATCAATCAATTGTGAAGATGAATTTTCCCTGAAAATAACAATTACATTATCTGACTACTCTGGAATTGATAATTAACTCTTGAAATGTTTACTATTTTTCAACCTCTTATGAATATATCAAGGAGCATCTAAGGTATTATCATTTTTATTTAAATGTAAAATTTCATTTCAACACTGGTTCACGTGAATGTCTAATCTCATTATATCAAAGCAGTCGTAAAGACCTGTTACTTTTCATATTTGCATAACACTATCAACTCTTTTGGATTGGTAACTGACAAAATCTTTGTAAGAATACAAAATGTTTTATTGCTCATATCAAATGAGATTAGCGAACAGAAAGTTTACTGAATAACAGTTCATTCTGTAATGCGTTATGACCGTGAAACATATATTTTATGTGTACGATGTGCTTGTAGGTTACTAATATGAGCCATATATATCTTAATAGCATTACTCAATTGGGAATATTATTGACGTTTTACTTCGAGTAGTAGGTGGGAATTATAAATTGACTTATGGAATCGTCAATTTTTGGTTATTCTTCCCATGTACTTGCTGGCTACTATTCGTTTAGATTGAAAAGAGCTAGTAGCGGTCAGATTAAGGACTTCGATCAGCGTATAAAATCATTAACTATTCATGTAAACCATAATGGAAGGAATAGATTTTTCCTTCTAGGATCAAGAATCTTCTTCTGCCATAAATATCCCTCTCGTTAAATTCTGTATAAAAAAACACTATTAGTATTAAAATTAGGCTCGCGGAAAATCGATCACAATAAATACAGTAATAATTCGTAAATTAGATAGGTCTAACAGATCAAAGTACTTTTTTATTGTCTAAATACTAAATACAAATTGAAATGAAAACTTACCTCGTCATTCTTAAGTAGACTGACGTAATTGTTTTGCCGAATTAATCTCCTGACATTATCTGAATCCAAACCGGTTATTCGATAATTCAAATCTCCAAATACAAAAATTACACTACATTGAAGAAAATATAAGTGTAACAGAAGATTTCACTGTCGTTTATTTCCTAATATATATATCACAAGAGATTAGTTTTTATATAATGGTAATTTGAAATAGAGAATACAAATTTCTTTTACCTAATCAACACGGTACTGTGTCTAAGCACATCCATAGTAATCCTTTGAAAGAAATACTTGAAATGTTTTGAGTAGTTGTAACTCCTATAGACTGTATACCAAATGATATTAGTCTTTACATAGTAATATCATAGCAGCATTAGTCAATCTGAGTCATACCTGTCCAATCATTGTTTCGTTTGTGAAAACGACGCAAAATTCTTTGGTATAAATCAATCTTTCTTTTCACCTGTTAAATCTAGCTTTTCTCAGTTAAATCTTACCGACTAATCTTAGAATTTCATCACTTGCCTCAACGATAATGTTCAAATTTTATAACTAAATCTTAGAGACAATTCTAAAGCGATCACAATTTGTTCATATAATTTAAGGCAAAATAAGGCATCAAATGGTACAATATTATAGAATGAATAGGATAGAGATTGAAAAAAAGTGAAGTATATAGCTTATGATTTTTATTGTGCAATGAATGTGCGAATAATTAAGACTAGAACATGTAAGCATATCATTTAAAATATTCAATTTAAAATCTGACATTAATTATACTAAACATCCATCATTGTTTACAAATAGCTCGTGAATTAAGGTAATATGGAGGCATAGGCACAGTATGCACATATGTCAATAACAAACTGATCAATGGGAAGATACAAGCCAAACAATACCAAGTGAATTAAAATTCACCCCATCGCACAAGCAAGTGGCAATCAGGACTCAGTAGCTAAGTGGATGACGCGATGGAGTTTGAAGCGAATGGTACTGGGTTCGAGTCCCAGAGTGAATATCAACTCTGAGATGTAGGTACATCAAGCTGACGAGTCCCAAATAGGACAAAACTTGCGTCCTGGATTCCACTGCTAGCCACTATCCATCATTGCTTAAAAATAGCTTGTGAATTAAGGTAATATCTAGGCATACGCACAGTATGCACATATGTCAATAACACACTGATCAATTGCAGTCTTAAACCTCAATGGGAAGATACAAGCCAAACAATACCAAGTTAATTATATTATATTAAAACTTACTCATGTATTGAAAAATAAGATTTTTTCGTAGGAAATGGAAAACGCTTTGGATTTATGGGGAATAATAATGACATTTTACGTACAATTTCTTTGAAATCTTGATTACGACGACCAATTTTTTCTTTGCCAGCAGCCAAATGACAATTTACAAAACATAACGAAGTATTAAATATAGTTAGTCTAAGACATACACCACCTTTATTACCCTGAAGTAAAGCAAATGAAAAAAAAACATTTATGTACACATCATAATAAATCCAACCATGAATTTACATTTATAAAACTGTAACGAACGAGAAAAAAGGTGGGGACAACCAACTTATTGTATTAAACAAAATAACGCAATATCTTGGTATAATATAAGAACCGTACATTGAATAAGTCATTTGCGAATTTCCATCATTTGTCCTCCACATTTTGTATGATTCTTCCAATTTACAATTCCTTTTTAATTCCCTTTCTATTCACTTTAACTCGATCTTCTTATTCTTCTGCTGCCAGGTTTTCCAATTTCGATCGGTGTTACATACTACTTATGTTTGTCGACATAAATAACATACATCACAAAACCAATATTCTGTTTAAATGTTTCATTTAAGTAGGAAAAGATGCTGGAGGTGGATGGGACATAGGTTGCGCAAATCACCAAACCGCATCATGAGTCAGGGCTTAACTTGAAATCTTGTATGGAAGAGGAAAAGAGATAAACCAAAGGACACACAGTGCCGTGAGTCGGAAGAATGAATAGTACCCACTAAAAATTGAGAAGAAGAGCCTTGAACAGAACTGTTTGGAAATCCCTGGTCATTGGCTAATGCGTAAGTAAGTAATTTTAGAATAAAGCATTTTACAACTGAAATAATTCTATTTATTTCCACATAATATGGTAACGATTGATATTCAAGCTATTTATCATTAATATACTGTAACGAAACGTTTGGTGAAAACTAAAAATTTATCACTCAAACATAAACGGACACATGAAATATTTGGTTTTAATCACTCATTGGAAATGTATAATCAAAAAATTGTTAACAATAATAAATAATACTCTGACAGGTTAAGCTAAATAACGTAATAAAAATGTTCTGAAGTGTACATCAATTCTGGGATGCAGTTATATTCAGCTGACGAGTCACAAATAGGACGAAACATGCATCCTGTATTCTTCTGCTAGCCACCATCTATCTTTGTTTGTAATGCATGTAAAATTGAGGCAATATCGAGGTAATCCGCATACGATGTACATACTCCAATAAGAGACTGATCAATTGCAATCCTAAACATCAATTATGAAATTCATACAAACAATATAAAATGATGCGCACTGCTGAGGAGTGCCTAACTAGGACGAAACGACCGTCCAGTTCTTCCAGGTTTTCCATGGTGGTCTAGCTTCAATTGACTCATGATTTCAACCAGTGAAATATGAAATGAATGTATCTTCAGTTTTGTCTATACTATCAAGATTAATTTCTAAGAGCAATGTTTATCAAATACTTCTTGAATACCATGAAATTTATAAAACTTACCATTACATTTAAAACACCAGTTGGAACAATATGTTGAGAGATTTCATCATGACGCAAATGAATGGATAATTTGGCTGAGATATACACGATCATCATGATACCAGCTAGACGAACACGTCTAATGCGTATATAGCCTCCACCGGTGTACTGAAACCAATGAGCTGCAAAACTTTTAGTTGATTCAATTTCATTTTGACAAACTACATTACACTTAGAACTAGGTGGTTTCAACAAACCACCTAACGCTTCTTCTATTTGTTGAATCCATACATCCTCTGGTCCTGATGAACTAGTCTTATTGAGAGTAATTACTTTAAGTCTTAAATCCAATTCTTGTAGTCTGATCAAAGATAAATGTAAATGAACATAGATTTCAATGTACTCAAAATAAATAAAATAAACACAATTTAAGTCCTTTGTAAATAAAAACAATTGTGTTTTTTACATAAGCTGAACAAATAACTTACCCAAGAACATACATATCAGCTGGTGGTTGACCTTCCGGAGGTATAAGCCAGTCATCTAAATTTAAATTACTACCATTACGACCGTTCACATTCCATGTTCCAATAAATATACTAATCTTTTTATTTTTGGGATAATTAATAGTTGAATTCGACAGAATATTATTCTTTGGTTTAGTATATCTACTGGGAAAAATAGGACCAATATGATGATAGATAGTTAAACTTAGTTATCTGAATAGTTGATGTTGATAAATTATAAACTTTAAAATACTAAACCATGTACTTCCCATGGAAACTTAAAAATTCTAATGATTAACTTTAATACAGATTGAAATGGTATAACTTTTCCAATCCAAAGAGATATTTTGGCTAGTAAAGTTATAATTTAATGTTGTTCAAGAAGATTGTTGTTAAAATGTGAAATTTTGATGAGTAACACAGGAGAATATTTGATTGATGTATATGGTAGTTTATTTCTAGCTTTGATCATGTTCATAACTATGAATTGAGGTAATCCAAACAACACAATCCATACTGTGGTTAAATGCTAGAAGAAATCAGAATAATCCTAAATAAGCATAAGATAGATGTGTTGGGTCGTTGGAGATTTTTAAGAGGAGACTCAACCTAGGTTTCTTCCTATTCGGTCAGCATTAACAAAGTATGCCTGTAAACATGAGAACTGTTCTTCCCTAGGGGTTTCGAACTCACGTCATCCACCTAGTTTCCACGTTTATGACATCACAACCTTCTGTTCGATTGAAATTTTTCAAATTGATTGGTCACTGATTAGTGGCTAATGTTGAATTTGTCTAGTCCTTAAATGTTGATGAAACTCCATTAAATTAACTGAAGTGTGGTCACTAGTCTCAATAACTTGAAATAGCTTATCTTGTTATAAAAAAACGACAATCAAATATTTTATCAGCTCATTGACAATTATTATTATTATTGCCAAATCGCTAAATAAAGTTTCCTTTAGTGTTTTGTGAACATCATGTGAATGAAGTATGAAAATTTTCACTTACCATTTATTCCATGAATCATTTGTGAAACGTAGATCGGAAAAACTACGTGGTGAAGTCAAACCCTAAAAATAAACAAAGTAACAGTAAAAGAATATAGTTTTTAAAAATAATCTTTTAATGGTTTTATTCAATATAATTCATGATAAATAATCGTTGAGATAGTTTGATGGGATAACTAAGCTGTATAGTTGTATTTATAGACCATTTTGTTTTAACATTGAATAGTTCATAGTAAAATAAAAGAATCAAAGATAATCAAACTTATTCAACAATTGGATGTAAAACTCAATGATAATAAAGTGATGTTGGGTAATTTAATGAATTTGTCAAATTGTTTCGAAAGATCCAATTATTAAATATAATAAATTTATAGATTGATGGGTGTAATTTTAAAGAAATTAAATTACTATAGACTACTCATTGTAAAATATAGTCTATAAATACTGTTACTAAGCTTCAGAAAATGATACTGTCGAAAAGATCATTTTTCTCTCTGAAATCTTTTCAATCTTTTTTTTTGAATCTATATAGTAATGAGATACCATAAGTGACAAACAGTTGAGTTTTCTCCTTGGTTCATTAGTCCTGTCAGTCTCTTGTTGAAACTTTTCAACTGTACATTTAGTTATGAAAGCAATTATATGATGGATTCAGATAGACTATAATTTATGGGCGACCTTTGAACGAACCTTATGTGACCTTGACAGACTTCAGTCAATCAGAAAACATTCCGTCTAGAGTAAGAATATATTATACAAAACGAAAAAATTATTGGATACACTTTTTTAACATAGTCCAAAAACGTTTCCAGGTTAGAAAGAGGTTCAGCAGTTCTGAAATGGTAATACATAGGGTACAGGAACTCATTCATGTGAATCCACAACCTCTGAAGTTGTAATAAGGTCGCAAAATGTCCTTAGCCTCAACCACACTGCTTCTATACCGTTAGTGGGCTCTACAGAATGTCGCTTGTGAACGACGACTTAATGCAAATAACCAATTCTAGATAGGCATCTATACGCCCTCCAGTTTTCCGTGTATGTTGTGGTACCTGGCTGCACATACTCCTGAGTAATTAATATCAGCGTTCTAACCTGTCGGTTTTTCACGTGCTGAAAATATCCTCTTTGCTATGATCATTCATATATATTAAATACCAGTAAAGTATCTTTAAGGAGCTTCTACCTACCCAATCTGCTCAAACACTTTTTGTCTTGCGAATCGACGTTTTTAAACAACTGCTTCATCGATTTATACGACTTTCTTCATTCCACCAAACGATTGTTTTAAAACCCATCATCTTTATTGTGTATATTTCTCTACAATGCTCATACTGTTGAACTACTGAAGCTTCAGTAACATCTGAAAAGATTGCAGCGAATGTTACCGATTCTCTTATTATCTAGTTTACAACAATTAGCATAACCTGTCTTAGTGTCATTCGGGATCGAGTGAAAAACGTCCTCGCTGTAGCAAACTTCTTCCTCCAATATGTATTGCACCGTAATACAATGTCGTCGGGATATTCTGTATACTGTCCATCAGTCATTGGAAAAAGGAAATCACAAATAATGTGACATATCAGTAATTCCATCTGTTGTGGCCGCTCAAATATAACGCGCTTATTGAAACCCACTAAAAGCCGATGGTACGTGCGTATTTGGTACTGAAATAGGCACCATGATAATGAAACCTCTTACTCCGTTTTGATTGACTCGTCCATAAATTATAATCTCGTCTAAATATCACTGTAATATTCACGTAGTTAAGTAATGGCACTATTAGCAAAAATTAAATACGGATAGTCTGTCAACTGGTTATTAAAAAAGACCGCATGGCGTAAACGGCAAGGCATAGGCGTTCAGAGATTTTTTACTGACACACTTTTTTTTCTTTTTTACCTAAAGGTCTAATTTATGCACATCCAGTAATTTTAATATCTTTTTCAATTTGTATATTACCCATATGAAAAGATGAAAATTTTACCTAACTTCTTATTTATAGGCAAATATGGATGGTGGCTAGTAGGGGAATACAGGATGCATGTTTCGTCCTATTTAGGACTCGTCAGCTGTATTTACCCGCATCCCAAAGTTGATGTTCACTCCGGCACTCCTCCAGGGCTCAAACCCATCACCGTTCACTTCAAGCGCCAATGAGTTAACCACTTAGCTTCCGAGTCCAAAAAGCTACTAGCTTGCACATTCGGGTAAGGTTTTAATTCATTTTGTATTGTTTGTATGAATCTTCCCATTGGTGTTAAGGAATACAATTGATTAGTCTCTTATTGGTATATATGCATCACGTGCGTATTGCCTTGTTATTGCCTTGAGTTCACTGCTAGCCACCATTCATCTTGACCTATAATGCTTGTGAATTAAGGTAATATTGAGGCAATCTACACATGACGCACATATGCCAATAAGAGACTGATCAATTGCAATTCTAAGCATCAATAATAAACATCAGTGGTAATAATGCTTACAAGTATTGTAGATAATAAAATGCATTCAAATGATGTTTTCCATTAATATAAAATATCTTTAACTTTAATTATCATTTCAAAAAAGGGATATGTATCACAGAAATTAAATAACAAATTTAAACTAGTCAAAACCTAATGGATATTTGTTTCGTACTAGACATGTATGATGTATTTATTTAACTGTTATTCGAACACTTCTAGGTATTAAAGTAATTCTTTGCTCAACAATCAAGCGATTATCATTAAACCTATTAGTTCATTGTGGTTTGATGACAATAACAGTTAGTAAAATGTATAAAAGCTACATGGAAATTGGAAGGACTTACAAAACTATCTTTTTTTCCAAATCTTGTAAGTTTTAATAAAGTAATGGCTATGATTGGAGAATTTGTAAGTTAATCAAATTCTTAGTAGATTTTCGGTTTATAAATATATAGTTTGCTAGTCAGTAATCAAATAGTAGTTTGACTGGGTTAAAACTTCTATAATTTATTAAAACATCATTTTTCCTGTTACGTCAACAATGAAATCATGATAAATAAAAATAATTATTTGTTCTCTGAAGAAGTGACTTACACTAAGTCACGAAACGTCAGAAAATCCAATTTTCTACTCATTGGGATATTACAAATATATTATTTTTATTTATAACAATCAACCCAATGCTCAATTTATTCGAAATTATCAAATCAAACCTTGGTAATGACACCTACAAATGAAATCATGATTCAATTCACATCGTACAAGATTATATTCGCCCATCGAGTTAATTTAAAAATTAGATATGTATTTTATTTACCTCATGTATCATGTACAGATTCTTGCACTGTGTTCCCAGCCACATTCTAAACATGAGGGTTAGTGATACTACTCATTTACCCAAGCTAAAATAGGTGTAGCTAGTTTCAAACTTGAGAATTAGTGTATTAAAATTAAACACCTCAACCACTTATCTACCTCTCAGTCATAGATAATATTTCCAAAATAGTCATTCACACACCAAATATAAGAGTTTGTCTAAAATACTTCCTGACAGAAATTTATTAAAGAAAACAATATAAATATGTTAATCTTACTGTTTCTGCTAAACTGTCTGAGGAGTAATTCAAATTGTTTTGTGATACAGCTAATGAATTCTTTTTCATCGGTTTTGGAGGCTTTGATTCCAGTTTTTTTATTGACGGCGGGGATATAGAAGATTGACAACGACGTATTTTAACTATTCGTTTAGGCACTTTTCTCTTTACTTTAGTATATTTGCTTTGAGCAGATAATTTAGAATTGTCTAAACTTGGGCAACTATTTGTTTTGACACATGTAGATGCAGGTTTCAAATAATCATATTTATTTTCATTGATACTACTTGAATCAGAAACAAGTAAACTGCTAGAATCCTGTACGTTTGGAGCCAATTCGAATGAATCTTTGTCTCTGGTTTGTTCATAAATAAAGCAGTGGATAGTTGGGAAACAATTATATACGTATATATAAAATTAGTATAAGGGATTTGTGAAGATTGTTAAGTATCACAGTTTACATTGTGGACTAACCTTAGTTAGACAACTACTGAAAACTGGGAATTATTTAAGAAGTGATGTTTTTTTCTGGTATGAGATTCCTCAATAATGAGTATCCACAAAACCACCGGGGCTATAAACCAGGACCTTCAGGTTACACGGCGAGTCCCTGAATTGAAGACCAATGAATCGGAATCCATTAACGTATATGTCTAACTTCAGTAATTTGGAGAAATGGCACAACCATCTTCCATAACATACATGTCTATCAAAATCTCTCGCAGCGGCTCAGGTGCATATATGCCTTGTATTCTCTTAGATTCATATTAAGCAACCTAAAAAGCTATGATATGAACTCCAAATATTTGACTGTTATCGATCTCAGTGTACAGTGATAAAAGAAATATAAAAAATAGGTAGAAGAGCTTTTCTGAAACACAAGTATTGAGTATAAAAGACTTTGTAGCAAATCGTCTCGTATCAAACCTGTAAGACACGGTTGCTTCGATCCAGGGAAATCCAACTGCAGACATTAGTTAAGTAATATTGTCAACATAGTCGTCTGTTTCATTTTACACTCAGAAACAAAAGTTGATTTAACATTCGGGTCAGTTTTCATCAGAGGCAACTGAAATAATATAAGCTTAAAATCGACCACTTTTACGTGGCTCACTTCAACTGCTCTAATGTATTTCAAAATGCAGTAATCAGTAACTAAATTAAATTATTGGCAAAGCGCTAAACAATATTGAACTTTATTAACGGCAACAAAATGATTCGGTAATACATCAGGTTGAAAACAGTCATTGTGAATTTGTCGACCTAAATATCATAGATGCTGAACTCATCTCACATATGCTAAACCATAAAACTGACTATCGACCGTCTGATTATCAACTTCAAAGTGGAAAATATCAATAAATGCTTATAAAACGTTGAAATCGCTCAGATAAGTACTCATATACGAATATGTGAATTTAATAAATATGAATGAATATGAACGAAAACGTTGATGAAACAATATTTAATTTCCTAAGGTAATCCTCAAAAACAAAATTGAATTGAAGACAGATGAACCTCGAATTCATTCCAAAAGCTTAATCAGTGATTTAAAAAACGAAATATTTTATATAAATTCTTTTATTACGTAATATAAATTATTTATTCACAGTTATTGTCTTCTAACTGTCTAAAAAGGATCAAACTTTTCTCAAGGTCATCCGGGAAGTTACATGAGTTCAAAACTAAATCTTGAATATTTTTTCCTAAGCTTGTAAGCCTATAACCGTTATGATATATACTACTTATATCTGTTGACATAAGTAGAATGCAATGCCAGTTGGAAGTGTAAAACCTTACAGCAGAAGGTTGAGATGATCGAATAAAAGAGAATGGAATCAGATAATAATAATTGATGGAAGATTTATAAATGAAGTATTGAATGTATGGTTTAACATTTGATGAAAGAATTTTTTAATTTATCCTCCTACTTCTGCTTTCGTTCACAATACTTAATAAAACTATGTCTGAATTCAAAACTTACATTCCTACATCATTTACCGCCTCCTATAAATAAGAAATTATAACTAAATAAATAAATATCAATCAACTGAATTAAACAAATTTTAAAAATAGATATTCGAAATTTCCATATATATATATATATATATATATATATATATATATATAACTCTGCCTGGAGTCCCTTCGGAGGCTACTGCCGGTCCCAAACCCGGATAAAGGCGGAGGGTTGGGCATGGGGTTAGCGACCGCATCCCGTAGAAAACTAACTCGCTAAAAAAACGCTAATCAGAAAAAAATTATATAAACAAAAATAGAAGCCTACTAAGAATAATAAATCTTAGTTAATATTACACTGATGTTTATGATGTAATAAAAGAATAGACATTTTTATTTAATTTACTTACAGATATTTATTTAACCAATTAAATTGTTGTTGTAAATTATTAGATAATGATATTATATCATCATTTAAATAGAAATGTATTTGATTCTTTGACATAACTGCTAATTCTGGTACAGATAAACAATTTGATTGTTTCATTGAATATTGAATAAGCAATTCATAAAATTCTAATGTATCATCAATATTGAAAAATTCTAATAATAAACTTGTAAATTGTGATGATCCATAAGTATTATTTATCTGATAAAATAAAATAATATTCAATAATTCATTGAAATAGAACATGTGATATAAATAATTGAAGTAAGGAAAAACAAATACAATTGAAAAACGTATAGAACCTAAAATAATTGCCAACCAATATCAAAGTCATAATCTTCAATATGAATGTTAAGACAGTGAGATCTACTGTACGGAGCATAAACTTGGAGAACTACTACAATCATCATCAAGAAGGTACAAGTATTTATAATTAGTTGTCTACGTAAGATACTCAACATCCATTGGTCGAATACCATCAATAACAGCCTATTGTGGCAGAGAACAAATCGGCTTCCAACTGAAGAGGAAATTAGAACATGTTGATGACGGAAATCACCAAACCGAATCATGGAGCAAGCACTAATTGGAAATCCTGAAGGGAAGTGGAAAAGAAGAAGACCAAGGTACACATTTCGTCGGAGACTGGAAGCAGATATGAAAAGGATGAATAAGAACTGGAAAGAGCTGGAAAGGATTGCTTGGGTCAGCGTTGGATGGAGAGTGCTTGCGGACGACCTATGCTCCTCCACGAGACGTAACAGGTGTAAGTAATGCAATTTGATGTAGACAAAGTAAACACCTCAACTTATGTTGGTAGTGTGGGAAAAAGATAAATTAAGCGAGAGGATAATTTATGGATAAACCAATTAGTTTTAGGATAACAGGTATTGAATTTTGGCACGAAATTCATTCATCTACTTTGTTAAATAACGTTTTCGGATTTTAGTTGGTGTTAGTTAATAATGAAAAACCCAAGTCAAATTCTTAACCCTAACAATCAGCTATAAATCAGAATCCTTATTCTTCACACAGGTTTATAAACCTCATTTAACCATACTACGTAAATGGACATTCTCAAGGCCACTTTAACGTCTTTGAAATGTCGTCCATAAATTATAGAGTCACCATATTACTTTTCAACATTGAAAATTTCTGCGATTTAGACAAAATTCTTCTATCCAAATTTTTTTCGGATGATAACTGGATTTGTAGTATTTTCCAAGTTCAATTCACGAGTCGAAACCACCATCCCGTACGTAGGATCGTCGATGTGCACTGTTGAAAAGTCCGATACTAGGACGAAACGACCACCCTGCACTTCCAGGTTTTCAGTGGTGGATCAACTCGTGAACTCAACTTTAAAAATAAATAAATAACCAAATTCATTTATTATAAATTTATATACTTGAGTGGAATAACTCAAAATTGTTAGTACAATTAAAACAAGTTTGATAGTACTAATGTTATATTATTCAGGTCAAGCGTAAGACAATAAGTGTATTTGTTCGTGTATTTATTAATGAATGTGAAAGAATGTGATATTTGGGATTAGAAGTAGAGCCAATTTGTTCGTTTGTTACCGGTATGATATTTAAACAGAATAAATATGGTTTTTCATATCAATTTGATGGATTTAAAAAATACTATGTAATGTTAATGACGAAATAGGTTGTGGATCCTTGGATTTCATGGGATTATTTTTGTATAACTTTGATATTGCCTTGGAAGAGTAAAGATTACACTAGAAGATTTTCCTTAGACAGAACGCATCACATTCGACACAATTTAACCTTTAAACACAATTCTGTATAAAAATTAGGAATGGGAATCTTTTCTTTTTATTGACCTAATGCACTCTGTAGAATGATGACAGTTTTAAAGGATCAGTAAATTGAGAAAATAATTCGACAATAGATCACATATTTTTTTACTAGAATAAAAGATTGATTGTAGGATAATACCATTCAACTTTCATCTGATACTAATCTAGTTTAATCGGAGTTCAGCTGATATTTCAATATACCACTAAGCAATAAATAATTTCAATAGTTGAGATGATGAGTGAATTAAAGTTAGACCACCATGGAAAACCTGGAAGCACTGGACGGTCGTAACTGTTAAACTTGATAGACTTATCAATTTACGTTTAAATTAATATGTGTCTATCTAATATCTAACAAAAATTTTTAACTAACAGTTTATTCTGATGAATTAGATTTTCTTTAATAGGTGATAGAATTAAAAAGTACTTTTTTTTATTATAACAAAATAAGAACAGTAAAGATATCACAATTCACAGTGTTTCTTTCAGCTGATTAAAGTACAAACAGAAATGGGAACAGTTCTTTTATAAATTTTATAAATCTACTCAATAGTATAAATATTTAAATATTATACAATTTTGGGTGATATTATTGAACTATATTGAGAGAAAAAAAGTGTTTTTATTCATACTTTATTTGAGCTAATAACTGAAAAATGCACATTTAATGTATTCATTATATCTTGTATACATGATTTAGATTAAGTTTAACAGAAAGAAAATGTTTATAATTCCCGTTTATACATATATCACATACAATGTGATGGTATAACTATTACATAACCTTAGGTTTACAGAATAACAATTCTTAAATATGTGAAAGAGTACATTAATTAAATGTACAAACTATATTTTATCCACTAGAAGTAAATTCATTGACTAGTAAAAACATAAAGATGTATTGAACTAGATAGTTAACAAAACATGTTTTATGTTGTCTCAACTTATTTTCTAATATTTCATATACAGAATAAATGTTTCTCAAAATGAATTTCCATATTTCTTGTTTATTACACTTATTCATTGTATCGATACATACCATGATGTCTTCTCATAAACTATCAATAAAATTGGTACCGGTTGATTAATCACAATAAATATTGCATGAAATCTGATACGTTGACATAAACAACTTTGTAATTTCACGGAAAAATCAATAAATTATTATTTCCTATATACACCCATACACTTTGAAACTATCCACCTTTCTTTTTCTGGAACGTTAACATCACAAATCAGCATAAATTAAAAATCTAATCAATATCCAATAACACCAGCAGATAATTGATTCATTCAATTTCCGAATTGTTAAACAATATTATATACACTTATTTTACAACTTCGCTTAATGATCATCCTGAAGCAGATATAAAACGGTGGTATAATTCTTTTCGTGAAAGTAGTACATCTTTATCAATTGAGGTGGTTGCAACATCTGTTGCATATATTCAATCATCAACTACGTCGATGTGCGATATTGTCTAGTGTAGTAGTAGTAGGGGCGGCTAAACCAAGACATAGCACCAGTCCACGAAATCATTGACAATTAGATTGATCTATGTCAATATATTTAGACTACCTGATTGAGGTCAGCTCGATTATAATAACTAGTAGTTAAAGACTTTGAATGATACAGCTCAAAATTGTTGGCAAAGGCAAATATGCCTCCATTCTCTGTCTTCCTACAAATCTTAAGCTTCTGAATTCATCGTAATTTCTTTTTATTTCATTTCACTAATTCATATTTTCTCGTATCATATCTTCAATACCATTACTATGGTTACTAGCTCTACTACTCTAGGATTTACCCTAACTGATGTGTGAGTGAAAATGATAATGATTAGTTGTCTGCTTAGTCAGACATGTAGATAGTGTGACAGGTGTCACTTATTACTGATTGTTCATTATTGTTGAATTGTGTCGGTTTTTTGGTGTGGAAATATATTTACGTTGTGGTCAGGCTAATCACATATTCTTGATCTGAGTTGTGTTGAAGTCCTATAAAATAGACACTAGGTGGAAATCTAGTATAGATATTTTCGTCCAACGTAAATTAACGTCCTATACGTGCGAACGTGGAAACCCCTCTATAAACCCTTTATGAACGTGGAAACCCTATCGTTATAACATTAATCGAAGTAAAAACCGAGCGTTATAACACTAACATTTTCCGGGTTTGTTTTTTTTGATAAAGCGATTTAAATTATTCTTTTGAAATTAAGTTCACCTATCTGGTAATAAATTGCCGAACAATATTGTACAGTATTTTTTTAAAAGGAAGTTGATCTATCGTTTTCCAATGTCTAAGAACCTAAAACAAAAATTGTTTATTTTCGTTATATAAAAAAAAAACTTACACGACATTGTGATTTCCCATTGTCTACTTTCATTTGATTATCATTAAAATGTTTTAATGAATCCATATGACCAATCAAAATAGATTCATTATTATAATTTATATTATGATTATTCTTTAATGATACATTATGTTGACTTTTATTTATAGGATTCAAATTTTCATGTATTAATAAATTATTATGATGATTATGATTGAATAACCATCGTCTACCAGTTACATATACATGATCTGGTTCATCTAATCAATTATAATAACAAATAAACAATTAAATGCTATAAATGAATACTGTATTTACTAATAAGATAAAATATTACATCTATTAAAATGAATATTAAATGAATTAAAACACTCTATTTTAATAAAGAGTAGAATAGGATTCAAATGCAAGAGATCAGTTTCATCTTATATAGAATTTTATAGATTTGTCATTTTATATTACACTGTCAATGTTCACATTGAGAGGTAAATATAGAAACTTACACTTCCAGTCACAACGCATTATTCACTGAACTATTGAGTTCAAAAAGTCGGCAATTTATTCAACAGGTTTGTTATTTATGGAGTTAATAGAAAGGGTATAATGATCACGTTATTAATTGTGATTCCCAAATAGGATAAAATGCTTTTACTGGATTTCATTGTTAGCCATAATTCGTCTCTCATAAAAAGCTCGTAATAAACTTGCCATAACCGATGGAATCCCGATTGTATATGCATATCCCAAAAAGAAGTGGTCAAATTTCTGTCCGAATTCAGCAATGGGATAGTGTTATGGTTAACATAACAAAGTGACCTGATTTAAATAGCCGTTGGAAGCCGAGAAGCATTGAATGGTTATTTCTTCCTAGTATATCAGTCTTTAACTGTGACCGTTGACAACCCCATAGAAGATAGAGCTCAGGATCTTTAGGTCTCAGGTAAGATTGTAGATAGGCACTATTGAAAACTCCCATATTAAAATAGCTGTTTAGTTCTTACTGACTTTTCAAAGGCTGTTTAATCACATACAGTTTGTAGTGCTAACTATAAAATGCAAAATCTTTCACAAATCTAATGTATAATTATGGTATAATTCAGACACTTATTGATGATAATAGGAGCAAAAATAATTGATTGCAGATCATCTAGCGCTTCATAGACCTGATATCAACTAATTAGGTCTTCTATTCCTTTCAGTCTTGATTTCTTCATACAGAATTATTTTTATTTATTTATCTATTTTATCGTAATTCTATATTTATTTTAAAAAAAGAACTTAACTAGATAACATAGGCAACTTGTAGAATTAATTTTTATCAACATTTACAGCAACTAAACCTTGAAGTTCAACTATCTTAAATATTTACCCCATCCCCCAAAAAAGCCTAGAAACTATAACCATACCAGTTACTAATCATAAATATCTAATCAGTTCATAAACTTTCATATTAAGCTTTTCTTTTATGACTGATATTATGAAAGCTATTTTCTTAAAGAAAGTTCTATAATACTAATATATTTTGTTCATTCAACTAAATACAATTAAGTTCAATTGGTATTGTTTGGCTTGTATCTTCCCATTGAGATTTAAGACTGCAATTGATCAGTGTGTTATTGACCTATGTGCATACTGTGCGTATGCCTCGATATTGCCTTAATTCACAAGCTTTTTGTAAGCAATGATGGATAGTGGCTAGCGATACAGTTAAGTATTATAAAAATATACGAATAATTATTGATTGTCAATTCTTGAGTAATATCCAAATAGTGTATAAGTTTCCTTTTTCATTTTTATTCACAATTAAATGTGAAATCAATGATTCAGTAGAAAGTGGTGTGTTTTCAATGTAACCAAAAAAGGAATAATGGAATCGATTGATAAAAAAGACTAAATTTCATCTTTATAAATTTAATTAATGAAATTAAGTTCATAAAACATACCACATTAACAAAAGCATTTAAATAACTTTATAATATCTATCATATTAAATTATATATTATTTTGAATATTTCAATAAAACGAAACATTAGAACTAAATAATGATTGAGATTTGTAACTAAGGTAGATATTTTTACAAATGTTAAATTTTCTTAGGTTGAACGATTTAAATATTGACCTTTTTTTTATTGTCACTTTAAACAACATTCACAGATCAGCTTGACAATAAAAGTTCTACAATTAAACCATCTAGTTCAGTGAGCTGACCAACATCAAGAACTTAATACTCTTATAATATGATATTTTGTGAATATAGAGAACAAGAACGAAGATTGGTGCAGAATAATATGAATTCATTTTATTTCGCTAGGTTATCATCAGCTGATTACAATCTATAATATTTGAAAATCAACGATATTACAGATATTGATATACCTATACATACGAGGGTGATTAAGGCTGAATATGTGTATCATGACGTAGTGACGATTCCGATAGAGTTAATGAGGTCATAGGAAATTTGTTTCGGACCAATAAAGTTTGTGAGGAAAAAACGTCTAAAACCAGACCTATGTTTACAAAAGAAAGAGACAGTAATAAATATTTCTTTGCTCTGTTAACATTAAACCCCCTTTTTATTTATTACGTCATTCATTCCTTCAACTCTTTCTGAAACTTAAATTACGTCACTGTCATTTCCTTTAATTAATAACTGACTGATTTCAGTTCAAATCTTTCTTTATTGCCATTATTTTATTTTTAGTCGCTTCATTATACAATCATTTATTGCTTGTTAACTCTATGAATTCTAATCATTATTTCAAAGTTTAAGAAGTTTCCCTTCCAAACTTTATTGCTCCGAAACAAATTTTCTGTGACCTCATTAACTCTATCGGAATCGTCACTACGTCATGATACACATATTCAGCCTTAATCACCCTCGTATATATAAGTATATCAATGTCTGTCATATCGTTGATTTTCAAATATTATAGATTGTAAGCAGCCGATGATAACCTAACAAAATAAAATGAATCCATATTATTCTGCACCAATCTTCGTTCTTGCTCTCTTTAAGATAATAAAGGGAACTATGTGTATGAAACTTTATGAATAGTTAATACAAAGGAGAAATCAGATAGACTGACATAGTCTTAGTCATTGAAAATATTGTAAATGTAAGCTTACAGATTTTAAATAAGTACTATTTAATTTTCAGTTAAGGGTTGTGAACAGTGTTAAATTTGATTGAAATCATGAACCGATCGATATTAAAATATCATTGAAAACTTGAAAGCACTGGACGGCCGTTTCGTCCTAATATGATTCAAACCCAGGACCTTCGGTCTCGCTCACGAATGCTTAACATCTAGACCAGTGAGCCAACATCCGACGGTTTGAATGACCAACTTCAACAGATGCTTCCAAGTTTTCGATGGTACTCTAACATTGGTTGGTTCATAATTTTGATAATACTACTTAATTATTTATTCAATCCCGAAAACCTTTCAATAATATATGTACAAATAGATTAAATCGGCCTTTCTGTTAAATCTTTAATATTCTACTTATTGTCGATTCATTGTTTACAAACGTTTTCATTGTTAATTCATATACTACCTATTGGAATTTTACTCTTTGATATTTCATGAAATAAAGGTATTATAATTCAAAATGTTAATTACTTTAAGGTACAATGTCATATGGTACCGGTATTTCTCAAGTTCTAATCAACAGTCAAAGAGATTGCCAGAGTTTAAAGTGGATAATAGAGTTCAAAATTTAAACAGAAATTATTCTCTGATCTGTTTGGGTCTGTCGTAATCGATCACTGAAATTATTCCAAAATTTTAATCAATTTACATTCTATTATAAATGCTTAAAAGCCTACACTCAAATGTTTTGTAGTATATATCTCACAGTAAACTTGGATAGACAGGCATTAACACCAGAAAGCACTGTACAACTGTTTTATCCTAATATTGTATTCAATAGTGTACATCTCATCAGAAATCGAACCAAACTTTCTTTAAACTATTTGAAAACTAGCAAACATAGAGTGTCAAGTTAGTCGACTGTTAACCAAACGTTATTCATGTCCTAAATCAAAAGTCTAACTCGTTTAATAATTAGTTATTTCGAGATTCTTTAAACATAAGAATGTGACGAATCCTAAATTTCTTTATGCAATAATAAAATTAAGTGTTTTCAGTACATTAGGATACTTCACTATGTACTTAGATCTTTAATTTCCAGATCGAAAAAAATTATTACTCAAGCAAAGATTTGGTTAGTAAATACATCAAACTTTATTGTCCCCCACAGTAAATCTGTCCAATAATATATAATCTATCAACAATTCTCTCAATCTTGGTGTGATGTTACAATTGTTTATTATACAAATGACTGATTTATTATTACATGAACATAATGTTTATTACAAGTTGACATTAGTCGGCAAACTACTTAGAATTTAAAAGAAACAATAAAGATGTTCCATCTTAATTCGGAGATTTTTAGTTAGTGCACAGTCATGACGCAATATAGCATGAAACTCTGAATATTTCATTATATTCATATCTGTGTTAAATGTGCTTTTCAAACCCTAGTATTTATTAATACTATTGAAATGATACAATAAGACTTCTTTATTCATTTTAAATAATCCACTTTAAAGGAGATATTTTTCATGGGACGTATGACAACATTAAATCAATCGGGAATTTTTAGATTTTGATAGATAATCTTTCATTCCTAAATTATAAAATGGAGTATAAATAACGTTAGTTGGTATGCATATTTATTGTAGCAGCTAGCATTGTTAGATACCTACACGATTTACCTTGATTTTTGGATAGATGATTTATTCTAATGTTCACAGTCATTTTGTCATTCTCTTGTGTAACCTTCAGTATGTTTGTATTATTATGCGATGTGACGATATTCTAAGATCATTCATGCCTTTGAATATTGAGTTGCATTTTAATTGAGTTGGCGATTTGACCATCTCTATCTCTCATCTTAGCGTCTTTCTGAGTAGGTGAGTATACGAAATAAAGCCGTCCAGCTTAATTCTCATTTGACCTTTTATCACCCCCGTCACTCAAACAAGGTTAGCCTAAGTAGAACGTATATATATATATATATATATATATATATATATATATATATATATATATATATATATATATATATATATTTGTTCAGAAAATTAATATAGACATTTTAACCACAGTCAGTTATTCCAGATTGATGCATTAGATCTAGTGATTAAGTCTATTTGTTTTAAAAAGCTACAAAGAGTAGTTATAATGTTAACGTTAATTAATAATAACTTATAAGTAACTTACCTACCTCACAACTGAATTCATCGTTCAACAGAATTATATCACGTAATATCAGACCTGTTTGATTCAAGTCTGAATTTTGTGATCGAGTAAATATGAAAATGCTGAAAACAATAAACGTATAATCAATAAAAGGTACATGTAAGTTGTTATAGAAACTAACAGAAAGTTATCTAACACAAAGTAAAGTAAGTTTATATAAATAAGATCCGTTTATTTTTCAAAACTACAAATTCCAAACTTCAAAACGTGGGTAACAGCTAACTACTTCGTTCACAGGTCTGTGCAACAATAAAACGAATTCTTTGATCAAGCCTATGTCTATGTCATTGTCTGTAAGTCATCGAGTCAATAATTGGAACTCATTAGCTATTTTATAAAACGGAGTGAATAAAAAAGTGATTTAGGCGGAAAGGATGTCCTTAAAACAAAATTGTTTGACTGGCCGATGTTTACTGGCTTACGATAACAGCTGGTCACGCAATTAAATTTTCCTGGATGTGATCACGGTGAAATTTGTGGATACTTACTTTGATAAAATATTTATTCAGTCTTCTAGACTGGCATTTTTGAGAATGGTTTTATACCATATGTTCAATTATAACTATTTTGAACTCTCAAACTTAGTTGTCTGCAGATAACAGTTATATAAATGGACATATGATCATTCAAATATTCAGATCATGAGTATCAATAAACAACCTGGACGAATTTCAAAACGCAGTGTGAAATCGGTGTTGTTAAAGACTTAATTACAACGAAAATTAATTTACTTTTCTTTCCTATTTTACTGGTTTGTAGCATCCTATAAAATACTGCTTTATATTATCACGATACATAAATCTTTCGCGACTTATTAAAACTGATTAAACTTCACACCATTCCACATCAGCTTTGTTTTGCGTTGAACTATTATGTTGCACGTAGTAGATGTGAAGCTTTAACGATAGGCGAAAAATCACAGTAAGAGAAATATAAAGTAACAATTTAATATAAAGATATAAATGACGTACATGCAAGAAAAAATAACTGAAAATCAAGTCGATAGAATCAATCATACTTCTAAAAACAATTTATTTCCTAAGTTTTAATTGGCGATTCTGGTTTTTGGAACATGATTATTTCTGTAGAGGAATAATATGTTGGTGAAATACTATAAGGTCAAAATAATCTATCATTTGCGTAGTAAGGCTGGAAACAGTCTCATCAAGTCGAATTCCTCTAAGTATCTATCTTTAAAACATTTAGTCAAAAGAAAATAGGATATTACATCAGGTTCATGTTGGTCTGAAACAGGAATTATAAAAAAAGTAAACAAAGAGATTCTTTTAAAAGTCACTTTGAGAGGGTTTACTGTCTGGACATATTCAGACATACGCGCTTTGTTTAGAAGGTTGATTTTTAATAACGGATGCAATAAAATTCAGATGTCTTCCGTACTCGTTAATATAGACAGGGAACGCCTAGAAAGAAAGCAACATAAAAAATAAAATATGGATATTTGTCAAACTATACTAATAAATCTTACAGTATTGGTCAAGTTTTAATGCCCTTCTTGTTCGCTTATAAATTTTGTCATCCGTTATGCAGATTTTGTAAAAATGTTTACATGGATGCTATTGAGGATTTGTAGACGATTTATCAGTACGATCAGTGTTTCTGTTGATTTATTAAGCTTCTTTAAACTTAATACCGCTGTCAAAAAGAAGCATTCATGAAATTCAAGTGTTGTAACATGAAACTTTTCGGTTATCAACTAGATTTCATGCTACCACGATCTATATAATGACTAAGTCTACAAACCAAAATATCAGTTGTTATACTAGGGAGGTGAAAGTTTGTACATCTTGTGATGGCTGAAAAGTTTATGATTGAATTACAGACAAGTAAAAATCGACTACTTTATAAGGTTGTAATATATTTCGAACAGTTTTCGACTATTAATCACAGTCTTTCGAGCACTAGATTTGACTCACTAAAACAACGTTTATCCCATTTATTACCAACATTGGATGATAATCATTATCTCCGAATATTCCTTTTTAAAGGCAACTAAGTTTTCGGAATGAATACTAGAGAAACAATAATGAAGAGATAAACTGTATAAGCAAGTAACACTTCGCTGCTAACTAAACTATCATCAGCATCACTTATTTTGAAGTGACATAATGTCAATTAAACCGGTCAAAGATGCAGAACTCCACATTTTTAATCAATTAGATATAAACTAAGTGTGAAAGGATATTTGCAATGCTAATTTTTAAATGCACACCCCATACATACTTTTATAAACCATTAAACCCCAAATCAAACTGATTTAAACTTGTGAAACCATATCTGTAGCATCAAAATTATTCCAATTCTCCTGCAATTGTTCAAAGTAAACACATTATACGTTAAAACTATGCAGATACGCGTAAATCTCCATGCTAGATATATCAGATATGTGATTAAAACATAAGAGGTGTAAAGTCAAACTTTTTTTATCCGTCTAAGTGGCTGATTAGTGGTTTAGTAGATGGCAGGAATATTTATATCTACAAACAATCAGTTTTCAAAAGCTAGTTAAGTTGTAGAATGAATATCACTGTTTCACTTAAGTATGAAATTGTTATTTCATAATGATCGAAATTATTAGCGAAATGTAATTCAATAAGTCTTGATGAATTAGAGACAGAACTCTCTGTAGATTAGGCAAACAGGGTAACAAGCGACTGTAACTTTAACAAACTTCTGTAAAAAAAATGGCTAAAAGAAACCTTTTTAGAATAACTACTATATTCGATATGTCAGCTGATCAACGTGAGTTACCTATGAACTGGAAGAATGCAGTTAACACTTTAATACATAAAACAGGAGTAACACAACTCTCATCTAACTAGAAACCTGTCGGCCTCATCAGTGTCGTAGATAAAATGCTGGAAAGAGTAATCAAAAGACTATAATGTCATTTGTGGAACCCAACGACTTGTTAAACAGCGAAAAACATGGTCTCAGAAAAAGTTATTTTGCACAACAAATCTTCTCGTAGCAAGAGAGAAATAGATTGAAGCTCTGGATAATGGATAAACACTGGATTTTGTCTACATAAACTTCAGAGAAGCATTTGATAAGGTGCCAAAATTAGACTTTTCTTGAAGCTGGAAAATCTAGACATTATCGTACCTCTCCTAATATAGCTTAGGGGTTTCTTGGCAGGTTGTAGAGAGAAAGTAAGAACAAATTACAAGTGCTCCACTTGTAAACAAGTACGTAGTAAAGAACCACAACACTCTGTCTTAGGTTATTTATTTTTTATATTGTATGTAAATGAACTCTCAAGTATAATTGAGTCCCCACTACTACTATGCGCTGATGACGTAAAAAATCTGGAGCGAAATAACAGGAGACACAGATGCATGTACACTTCAGGCGGATTTAGAAATTCTGATTTGCGGATCTGAAAAATTGGCTGATGCACATCAACACGGCCAGGTGTGTCTACATGTACTTTTGGGATACAATGGTAAATAAGTACAGTATAGAAGAAGTGCCTGGGGTGACAGTGACTCATTATATTATGGCCACGGCCTACTGATATGAGATCACCGATAAGGTGTTTAGAACTCTATGGGATAAAAGATGGGCATTTACCAAGTTAGGTTCTATCATGTTCATTACAGTACAAACAATCTTAGTGGGAACTAAACTTGAAAACTGCGTCCAGGATCCAGACCTCATCACTCTGTCCTACCTCAGATTAAGAGGTGACTTGACGATGATGTATGGAATATTAATAAATATTTGTGCGTCTGATATTCTTCTCTTCTTCTACCTAATAAGTCGGGACAACTCAGGGCATGTCGCAGGTGAGTAGAAAAACCAACAACGAACAAAATACCAGTGGCATACAGGTTTTCGCACTGAGTTATCAATTCTTGAGACCTGTTACCAGGAGCAGTGGTGTCCGCACCAACACGTGACATATCCACTGGACACTAACAGACGAGTGAGCTTTTAGATAAACAGAGTTCGTTCTTATGACTAAAGATAACATGACCTACCCAGGATAAACATTATCTCCAACTTTCGATTCAAAAAACCGGATGCATGATCACTCTGTATAAAAACTAAGTAAATACTGAAGAATCTTGTTTTGCAGGAACTGAGAAACATTTTTACTCAACACTAATTAATGAATGACGAAAACTATGGTTTTACATATGCATGTATTCAGCTGGTCGACTGCTTTCAAGATGCAGCACTAAAAAACACCCATCTCACATGTCAGGGAGATTTTAACCGAATCATTATCACGAAAATTCATGACAATAAAATATGTACATGTACTCACCCATTATTGAATTAAAATTATGGGGAAGTTTTACAAAACCCAACCAGAAATGTCTGATATAAGAAACCAATAAATATTCAAAATAACTCACGACGTTGCACAAGTCTTCTGATTCTTCCAATTTGCAATTCTTTAGAGATAACTTATCACTGATAACTTGATGACTCCTCTCTGACTTGTTGTGGGTAGAGAACGGTTCGGGTGCACTAAATGAATGGAGATTCAAATACTTTTGCACAGTGCATGATAAAGTACTTCCAAAAGCCATTATGTTCACTTAAAAAGTAATCACAAGATTGTACACATTAAGTCATTACTCTATTAAATTTCCTCAACATGTTCAATATCCAATATTTCGGTGAACGTGCATAAATTGTTAAATTCATTTTCTCACGCTTTTTTTGTCAAGTTGTGGTTCTAAATCGTCGATAACAAGCTCATATCTCTAATAGTGTGCATTTGAATTGAAGGTACTCTATGTGCAGGTATAGTACTCAGGCCAGTGTTTCTTATGAATTCAGAGAAACAGACGCACCAGTGAGATACAGAACGTAATTCGAATGCATCTAATAGAAGTCCAAAGCAGCAAGGAATGAGAGCAGAATAGCAGTGACGAATATAACTAAGATTACAAATGCATTACAATAATAACTAATTTACCATTTGCATATATATGTATTGATGTGAAAAGTCAGTTTTACGTCCTTTTTGTTTAATACAGACAGTTTGACTTCTCAGTTGCACTAGTGATAGTTATTCTAAAAGCTCTAGGAAACTAGAGTATTTATAGGGTATTTGATTCATTGAGACAATCTAATCCAGGGGCAATCGCTCCACCCGCAGTCATTCTAATGTTGCATCCACTGGCTAGATTGCCTTTTTTGATGAACTAGTTAGGTTGGTTCAAGCTTACTAAATGCGCCATTTTTGCTACATCTTTGTATTTCTTGGTAATAGAATGATACTCTCTAAACTCTTCAGAGGCCGAGTTTCAAGTTGATTTTTACATTTACCTTTCTATTATGAACTTGAAATTATCTAAAGTTTAATGACTTTTAGCATTTTTATTTCATTTGTAAAGATTTTCTGGAATTAAACAATGTGTTTTAGAAACGAACGGGGGGACATAACGATTCCAAACGATGTCTCTGCAACGCTGTAAGCTTTAGTGTTGTACACTTGTCCATGTAGCTTCGGTCCCTGGAGTTAGTAGGATTTGAAGCAGACGGCGTGCCAGTTTTTGCCGCACCATCCGAATTTGTGAGTTGACACAAATCGAAGTTAAATAACAGAATTCGCTATGATCCTATTAGGTTACTGGAACTAGGTTCTGTCATATGTTTATGTTTTCACACACAATAGCGCAAGGCAAAGGACTAGGAATTTTTAGAAGACTTAAATTTAGGAGCATTACGAAAGAATCTTACAAATAATTTTGAACAATGGAAGATGAAAATTGGTTGCTCTAAATAATAATATTCTGCCGATTAACGCAACGTTTAACATTCAAAATATGTGTCTATGCGCATCTATGAGCCTCATGTCACTTGAGTGAAAGAACTAGTGAGGCAATGCAGAGCACTTACATTGATAAGAAGTATTGAATTATTTTTCAAATGCTTTTTGTTCGGTTGATGGTCATTTGTAGGTCGCATTATGAACTATCGTGTAAACCGTTAAGAAATATTACGTTTCCAACAATCTTAAATATTGTCTGACACTGTCGGTTAGAAAAATAATGAAATTTTGTTAGTTTAAAATCCTAAAATTTCATTCAACTATGATTTTTGGCCTTCTATTTAGCTATAGACTTGATGGCGTCACTAGTAGTCGTCAGTTAACAATCATTTGAGTGTAATTCGTCATTATACATTAAAGTCATTGACTATGAGATGTTTGACAATGTGGATAGAAGAATCTTATGGGACCTTCTTCGACACTATACTGTACCTCTGACATCGTCACCATAGTACAGTATTTCTACGACGGAATACATTGCAAAGTCGTACAAGAAGAACAGAAGGCAGACGCATTTCAATCACAATCGATGGAGAAACTGTGGAAGAGGCAGAAAATACTACGTATTTGGGCATCATCATCAATGAACAAAGAGGATTTGATGTGGAAGTAAAGGCGGGGACTTCTAAGGCATGGATAGTACCCCTGTAGAATTATGATCTACTATGATATTAGTACTGCTCTAATAATAGACCTAATCCTAAATTTGTAGATTTGTCATGATATAACTGCCTAATCTATAAGATCTTACGTGGAAGTCACACCATCGACTACACCAACTCACTGTATCGTATCAATTACCAATACATGATGTAGAACAAGGTTAGGCTAGAGAAAGAACAATATATTTAATATGAATAGAAGATATAAGGTAACATTCAGCAGAGACCACGCCTGCATGGCCGAGCCATGCCGTTCGATCAACTCTAGTCTATTCAATTCATTATTCGCGCCTTCTCCATCGTTAGGTATTTCTTCGCGTTAAATATTGAATACCTATTTTCCGAGTAATCTCGTATTCAGCTTTGAGGATAATGTGGTTATGGTCCAATGCCACTACACTACTCTCCCACCAGAATCAACGTGGTGTTGGTTCGATACCCAATTGGATGGGACTGTAGTGTGCCGAAGGTTACCAAGAATAGTAAGATTCCTCCGGGTGATGACAAGCTGAAAGATAAATCAAAAAGAAGACGGCAGCATCTGGTCGGGAAATACATGTAATAATTTTAAAATATCTGCCTTCATGCTTAACACGCTTACAATGAAAATTTGAGTGATTATTTGAGCTATAAAAAAATGGGATTACAATAATAATAATAGTAATAATAAAACGATGCGTGTGTAATAGCCGTTGGTTGATATCTTAACGTATAGGTAGTAAGTATTTTGTGTTTGAAAATATTAAAGTCATGAATATTGTAGAAGTGTTAATATTAGTACTACTTTTAGTCTAACTTATGAAATCAAATAACGATTATGCCGGTAAGTTGTCCATATGAGTCGATTTCCAATTGCATCTGTATTAGTAGGCTAACTGAAGGAACAAAAGTATTACCGTGGAGAAGAATTCCAACTAGTGTTCCAGTTAGTTTGATACGGTTTGTTTAGTTACGGGGAGATTTTCTCAACCTCATTTTTACTTGACCGTGATAGAATTTATTAATACTACTAATACACATGAATGGTTATCAAAACAAAATTTAAATACGTGAGTGGTAATTATGTGAATTTTGGACAGATAGCTAGGAACAAATCGTTAAACATGAGTGTATTCTTAAGAGACATGCTCTAGACTCAATGTTCCGATCTGCGGCAGACTATTTATTTATATCTATACTTGCCGGCTGATTGGGTATACAAGTTAGTTGAAAGTATGCAGTTTATCATAAGGCGGAACACGATTTAATTGAGATATAGTGGTTATACGTTATTGAAATTAGTTAAACCTATGTGTCATATTACTAAGTGATGTGGTGCTGCAAGGTGTATTTGGCTAAATAATTTTTTACAAGATGATTAATAGTGAGTGATGCTCATGTGATTATCAGGGAGAACTTAAGTTGTAACCAAGGGGAGTGCACTCCCAACTCATGCCTATGATAATAGCTTGAACCTTAGTCAGTGTTGGGGTAAATTCGACATTGATGTTTTCAGTTTGCAGGAGATTTGCTCGACTGCTTATACTGATTATTCGCATGCATGATTGTGTCGCTAAACCATCAATTAGACTGACAAAGTTTTGAGATATTTACTGAATGAGCAACTGATAGAGAAACATACTGTAATCATCTGTAGTGAATGAAGAAAAACAACACTAGTGATAATTATAAGTCAATTTGCTGACCGATTTTGTTAATAGTTTCATTAATTTTATCAATCATATTACGTGATTGTCAAGTCATGACAATGCTTTATGAAGATATCCTGAAACTATTATGTTTAATTAGTTATAGTGTTGATTGAAGATTGGCCAGTGGAAAAATAGGCATTGTTGTTTTAGGTGATTCAAAATTATCAGAAATTTATAACGTTAAAGAATCCGAGACGCCTAATTTAATTATAAATTTCAATTCAGAAATATTTGTTTAATGTTAATTCTAGTAGGCTACGGAGTTTTGATTTTAAAAGTTTGTTCAACCAACAACTACCTGAGGATTTAGTAATTTTACTAGTGCAGTTGATAGTACCTAAATTTTTAATCTTATTATCTAAATTATGTTTGCATTTTAGACTGCTAATATGATAAACCAATCCATAAATCCAAATACGATTAGCAACAACGACTATGATGGGTTTATTAATAAACGTTAGAGGCAATCCAGATGATTTCTAAATTTAGAAGACATGGAGATATAGTGTAACGTATGTATGAACCAAGTTAACATGCAGGTTGTTGACGTATATGACGATTTAAAAATAATGAACATGACCAGACAAGTAATTTTAAAGTTTAGACTGCTTGTGAAACTTCAGGCAGGAATATGATGCGTTATAAACATTCTATAAGAAGTTACTACATTTAGCCTAAAGATAATTATAAATATGTGGCAAACACAACTGGAAAACATATACATGTTAAGTACAGAAAAATCATCCAGTAAAATAGTTGAACTCGCCTGGATTATTTTTGAAAATTAGATTATTCAGTGGACGACATATATAACGCCATTCGTGAGGAGTAATGATCCAAAAGTATACACAATAAAACATGCAGTATGGCAATTAATTCCAGGGTGCTTGATGCTGTTGCCACTCGCTCAGATCAAAACAATCGAATGAATCCAGATAATTGTGTCAGCCATTGAACGAGCCATCTAAAATGACCTTATGATTGCAGGAAACTTATGGCTGAAACTCACCGTATGTTTTTAGAGAAGTGTCATCCTTGTTGTTTGGCAATGGAACTCGAGAATATGAAATTAGGCAGGCAGTGGTCGGAAGAAAAGGATAGTGCATAGTTTAAAACAGGATGAGGTGTTAAGCGAAGAAACACTAAGAATTAGATCCAGATAACTATTTAGTCCTTGATTGCATTGTTAGTCAATGTATATTTACGTTATTTACAGGTCATATTTGCTAGAGCTTGATGTTTAAACAAGTCTATGTCGCTGAAGCATGTAAATGCTATTAAAGCTTGTTAACGAACCATCAAAGCTAATTAGTTGATATAGATGATCAACTTTTATTATCGATTGAGCTAGTAAGTTATGTGAACTCATAGATATAACATTACGATAATATATGTGACCATTATTCAAAGGACTATACGAATACTGGGTTTACAAAAATAAAAACCGATTGAGAAGGTTAA